CCCCAAAACCCCAAAACCCCAAAACCCCGTGATGAGAATCTAATTAATTTATAAAAAAGAATAAATTTGGATGATGCTGATTTATAGTTTTCAATGTTTAGCAAATGTTTATTGTTTAGAGATATATCAAACTTTAAATTCCAATCCTGATGTTGTTTAAGTCAGTGATGACACTTCAAGAATTATGTTTGCTTATTCCAGCTTTAAATAGTCTTGAGTATTTCATTACCAATAAATTATCAGGCGAAATCAAGTTCGATTTGCAACCTATAAGTTGATTAAATCAAACCCATCGCTCAGACTTCAAACTCTGGCAACGAAGTCATCATCCTTCTTCTCAGGGATGTGAATAGAGTCGTAGTATGGATTAGTTAAGGATATAATCATAAAGAAGTTAATGACGAATAGGGCTGTGAACCACTCAAGGGCTGGAGTAATTCTGTTTACTGTGCCGAAGTAAAAGGTGCTGAAGATCATGCCAATGCAAGCTGCTATCACAATGAAGGTTTAGTTCTTGAGTGATCTGATACTGCGTTTATCTGCCTCTGAGAACTTATCCATGTTATCATAGAGGGCGTTGGAGAGCCAGACACAGTAGAGAGTGAAGCTGACGAAGAAGGTACCAGCTGAGGCGTAATGAATGGGTCTGTAGTCGTACTCATCGAAGATGCCAATCATTGGGAGAGCGAACAAGGCTGGAATTCCAGTCTTGAAGATTCTATCGTTGACTTTATTAGGGATAATACCGTAGAGCTTCTTGAAAAAGGCTCTCATATTGATTTGCATGATCCCGAGAGTGTAAAAGGTTGTGAGACAGATGAATAGTCTATCGTAGGGTTTTAGTGCCAGGATGTCACTAATCATAGGCCACACTTTGCTATCGCATTACACCTATCCTAGGGAGCACGATCTCCAAGCGATATATGCATAGATAAAGTCAGCTAGGATGCTTAAAATGATGGTGATGTCCTTAAGTGAGAAGGAGATCACTCCATCCTCATAGGCAAAGAAGTTAGACCAGTCAGATCTGTCTATTTTAAAGATGTTTCTCACCTTCATTCCAGAAGTTTATTGTGGAGGGTTTGATGTTTCAATTGATGATTAGGGATGATATATGTATACCACTTGAGGATTCTAGCTCACTGCACCTTAATTCTAGACTTAACTTTAAGGGTTTTCTTGCTATTGGTTAAGAAGTGATTGAGTATCAGGAGCCACAGAATTTTAATTCAAGACTGGGTATTAAAGGTTGCTGTTTGGGTCGAGGTTCATTAATCAATTAATTGTAAATTATTAATTATTCTAATACGGATATCATGTTAGTTCTCGCTTTCCTTATAATTATTACGTAATTCGAGAACTAAATTTCTAATTCTATTTCTAATTTAACATTTATAATTGATTCATTCACTGATGGGGTTTTGGGGTTTTGGGGTTTTGGGG